TTAAACGCACAGTTATATGATTTCTTTTAATTATGTCAACTTTTTAAATAAATTCTAACGAATGCAAATCAATTGTCTTTAATATACAACATTGACAAATGATACGAGAATTTAATAACATTTCATCTAACCTGAATCACCTGATACAAAAATGAAATGATTCAGAGATCTTAAGTTTATAAATTGCAAAATTAATGGCCGCCACGTGACAAAAAAAATTTGGGTGTGTTTCTGATATTTTAGTTTTTTATAAAAGCAAATTTGTTCAATATAAAAATAACATTCGTTAGATTTTTATTTTAATGTTTTACATCCTTCACTTTCTGTAAGGACAGAGAATAATATGATCAAGTTTCTTTCCCCATTGGTCCCTGGCCCGAATATGTGTGTGTAAGAGAAAAGTGCTTCAATTTTCTTCAGTTACAAGTATGGAATTCAGAAATATATAGCATTTTTTAATTTGTATATATCCCCAACGAAAGCTATACAGCAAATAACTTATTATCAAATAATCTTGCTGACAAAAACATTGTCAATCAGACCAAATTTGTAACTTGTAAGAACGTCTCCAACTAGAAAATTCCAACTAGAAAATTCCAACTCAAGTTTATTACTATTTTTTTTGAGCTTATTAGGTAGATTCATAAGATTATTTCTTTAGGCATACTCATACATCAGAAAAAAGAGATCAAATATTATAAAATTGGAATATGTTCTTTTGATTTTCTATGTTCTACGGCGCCTTTGTCTTTACGAAAATTCTTGTCTAACTTTTTGTTATTATTACATCATTTTTTGTTATTATTAGATTAGGCCTTCTTCATTCAATCATTATTCGTTGTTCAAAAGACGTAAAAGATTTCATAAAAACTGCATGTTTTGAAATTTTATATTATAGTAGGACGTATAAAAATCAAAATTAAAACTTCTAAAAAAAATTTGGAAGTACATGTAGCGAAAGACTTAAAGATGATACATGACTTAGGAAAAAGCTTTGAGAAAACAGAAATGTAAACAAGAAATAAACAAGTTATTATGATTGAGCATCATTCAACTTTTTCTTGCGCTGCTCGATTAGTTCAACACTTGCTTTCTTCTTTTTCTGCCCAATCTGTAGATACCATTTCACAAATACACAACACAAAATTAAAATCAAATTACAAACACTAAGAGCCTTTCATTGCTATGATTCTGCAGAGCTTTTAAAACCAGGAATCAGCTAATTCTAGTATTGATTCTATGCAATTTCCAGAGATTAACAGACCTATAGAAACTATCAACGAAAAAAGAATGAATGGTAAAATGTAAATGGTACGTACCTTCATGGCTTCGTAGAGCTTCCTCTTCTTACGGGACATCAGCACTGTGCTCATATCAGCATTCTCTTGAGCTATTTGCATAGCATCAGGAACTGATTCTTCATCTTCAGTCACCACAGGTGCTACAACATCCTTACTTGCAGTTATTTCCATCTTCAGTTCCTCATGGTATTGTTTCTCCTGCGCCGCCATCTACATACAATAACCCACACACTACAAAGTTAGCAACTTAATCAACGCGTCCAAAAGTTTGACAGGCTTGAATTACTCATATCAGCACAAAGCCAAACCTTCTTCTTGTTCTTTGCAGCTTCGGCTTCCTCAGCACGACTCATAACACCAGCGTACAATAAGTTTTGAGGATCTTCAAGATCCTCTTTCCCAACACCTGGCAACGGAAGAACTTCGTTTCTGGCTGCTGCTTGTAGTCTTTTGATGGTTTCAGCATAATCAGGAACATATCCTTCTGCTTCATTGTCCACAAATGGTGACAAGTGTGGCGGTGGAATTCTGCTTGTAAAAAAAGCACACAATATAAACAGCTGAGTAAAACAAAAAATGGTAGTAAGAGAAGAAATAAGCAAAGGCTATGAATCTGTTACCTTCCAACCAAATACTTTTCAGTTGGCAAGATTATGCGAGCATTCACACAGTCATAGATCCACTGTGGTTGCACATACACCCTTGAAAGATACACATGGCCTGCGCTTGGCTTATCAATGATCTACAGAAGTAGAATGAATGTTATGAGACTATCTATCTACACTATGGGAAACAATGGCAATATTAAACATCGAGCGAAATGGCTTACATGATGTGTAATACTCTCATCATCCTCCTTGAATGGTGCACCTTCTCCTTCCCAAGACACCATCCCACCAAAAGCAGGAAGCACAAAAAGCAGGGACTCTCTCGGAACCTACATAAGTACACAAAAATAGTATATAAGAGACAAGATCCCATTCATGAAAGATCTTCTAAGATACTGATCGAGGAGAAACTCAAGCACACAGATCTTCCAAAAATCAAAACATGGAAAACAATTTACAATCATTGATAAGACTTTGGTTAGGATTAAACAGTAGTTTTAGGTGCCCTCAACACTAAGCACTTACAAGACTAACTTTTTTTTAAAAAGCCTTTACTTGCAAATGGTTCGGCATTAAGTAAGAGTCTTTGAACAATATAGACATGTCAGAGATTCATGCTAAAGAAAGACTACTATTATATTTGGTCAATTACTGATTCAATTCAGTAGCAAATGAGCATGTTTTGTCCCTATCAGTTCATATTTGCCAATGATTTACTATTTTACAGTAAAATTCAGTCAATAAGAAGTGGCTCAGAAGGAATGAATGAGAAAGATACCTCACGGCTCAAGAAAAACTTCAGATCCTTGAAGAGTGACTTGCAAACTCTTGTTTCTTCATCCTCTTCAACCTCTTTATTGTTATCTGCAACAAGATGCATCAATGCTCCAGGCTCACTCGAAGGCAGCTGGTGCTGAAGTTGTGCAAGTCTCAGTTCAGACTCTTCACGGTCATTTGACTGTGAGCTAGATGAAGCATCAACCTTAGGTTCCACCGCCATGCCTCTGGAGCTGGCATCTATGTATCTTGACAGTGCATAAAGATCTGCAACATTGAAGACATATGCAAATATTAATCAGAGTAACAGGTCTCACGTTCAAATGGTGACATATGAACTCCCATATGAAAGATAACTCTTGAGGAAAATAATCACTACTTGGAGGAGGACAACATACCTGCAGCCAAAGCCTCCAACCGAGAATCAAGGATTGGCGGATATTTCACATTCAGAGAATGGTAAAGCTTGAAATTAATAAAGGCAAGGAGAGTCTGCATCAAAAGGTGAATGAAAATTTGTCAGCATAAGTCCAAACATCAATTTAAATTAGTAAACTCAAATATATTAATTTATACTGAACTGATGAATTAAGTTAACAAGGAAAAAGGGAATGAATAGAGATTGGGAGTTCTCACCTCATAAAATTCCAAGAAGGTAAGCAGGACACCAAAGTCAACATCATTTGTAAAAACTTGTTGAATTGCATGAGGGGTCAACCAAGTGATCTTTTGACCTTCTAATTCAGCCTATAGCAAGATAATTATACCAAAGTATCATTAAAGGGGAAGTAATTTACTAATTCCATTATAAACTTTCAAGATAGAGTAACACAATACCTGATAGTAAATACCCTTGACAGACACAAACACTTTACGTAATGCATGACAACGTGAAATGTAAGCTTGCCATTCATGGGTCAATCTGACTCACAAAAGAAGCAGAGCATAAGATTATGGATATGAAACTAAAAGAAGCACAGCATCAGATAAGTAAAGACAGAAGGGTCCAAGAGGAAATATAAGATTCTGACCTTCTACAGTTGTGGACTCGCTTAACTTCAAGATTTTCCCTGTCTGATGCAGGTAACACCGCAAAAAGATGAACCATTGTAAGACAGTCATCCAAGTCTCGTAGTGCATCAATAAATGTTGGATACCTAAACAATCAGAAATGGGTGTTAACAGTCCAAACTCATGGATGTTCAAAGACAACTGTATAATAAATTAAAGTGTGTGAAGCAAACCTTTCACGGATCAATCTATCTAGCTTGTAAGTGGGTTGGCGAGTAAGCAGAAGGCGTGCGAGCTCCTCGTTTTTCTTAGACTTGGCTTTTTTGACCTTCTTTTGATATGTTTTGATTTCCCTGAACTTCTCAAGAAGTGGCTCGTGCATGAGGAAAGCAATGTCCTTGACATGGTAGTAAGTGTGATGGTTTCCCTTCACCTTCTTCTTGGGTTCTCGAGGAAATATACCTTTGACAATACATAGTCTCCTGAAATACCCAATCAGGTAGGTACAATAATAACAGATAAGATACCAACTGATATGTAAATTTTTTTTTACTAATATTGAGAATTGAGGGCATATTATAGGAATCATTATAGAATAAAGCAACTTATCAGTAAAAAACTAGCTAAATTGTTAGTAGAGACATAGTAAATTGACAAATCACGAAGCATCTCAAAAACCTAGTGCACACATGTGATTGTCCCAACAATAACTCGAAGAAAAATAGTGAAAAGGTAAAGGATAAAGAAGAAAGAGAGTGAACCTGAATAGATTCAAATTAACTTGAAGATGTTTGAGAGCTTGCGACCTGGTCATATACCTAGCCGCATTTCCTTCCTTCTTTTTTCCCTGCAAATGACAAACATAACCAAATTTATCTCAGAAGCAGCTCAAAAAAAGTTTCTCGAGCAAAGGGAAAAACGAAAATGGATTACAACAGTTGTTAATCAACGAATATTGGGAACAATAGAGCTTCAATCCAAGAGAAACACTCACCGCTGGCCTATAATGCTTCGGCATGATGAAAGCGCCACCAGAGAAGGAATGAGAGATGCGGAGAGGAAAAAGAGAGACAGAGAATTAGGGTTTTAGCCAACACGAAAGTCGGGGTACAAGAGGACGATATAATGGGCTTCTATTGACTTCTTGAGGGGTTTATTACGATCATGGGCTTTATGGCCCAATAGGCTCATTTTTGTTTGTTCTTGTGGGGTTCATTAGGATCATGGTTTCATTGGTTTGTGACTTTTTTTTTTCCAGTTTATGTGTACATTGATGCATGTATTAAAGTGTTATTCATCCATATTTTGATAAAATTAAAAGTAAATAGTTATTTGAAAAATTGTAACCACTAGCACAAATTTATAAACTCTATCTTTGTATTGTGTGATTGATTAACATACTACTGCTTCCATTTTTTCTAATTGTCAATACATTTAAAACAATACACAAGTGTGTGAATAATGGAAACAAATATATCTTATCACTGAGAAAGAGCTTGTTGGTCGGCAGGAGGATCCGCGGGGGCTGGTGGCTCACCGTCGTTGGGGATCCAGAATGTGAGAACCGTAGAAGCAGCAACGAACATGGCTCTACGAGGTGCCCATTTCAGACACGACACTACTCCTACGTTGTTCTCCCACCTCGCCACCTGGTTTAGACAAAAAAAAACCCACTAAATTTAAATACTGTGGCAAGCATAAGACCAAAATAGTAGCTACAACATTATGAATTATTCATCATATTAAGTGAATCAGTGTCCAAGTGGTGAATGTACAATCCTAGTTGTGTTGATTATTCTGCACTTTACCTCAGATGGGTTCTCGATGTTCCACGCATGTAAGGTTCCATCACCTGATCCTGTATTTAAAAAAAATCCACTAAGCTGGTTAAATTTGGGTGTTGTGTAGATGAGTCATGATAAAAGATCATCTAGTATCATCTGGAAAAGCGTATTACCTGACAGAACATACTTGCCATCTGGTGTAAAGGTAGCTTCTATGGGTGTGCCCTGTGATGGCTCCAAACTAAAACCACATTTCTACAAAATAGCATACTTACTTTTACCAACTCAAAACCTAATGTTCTGTCTTCTTCAGGTGAAAGATAGAGAATGTGATTACCTTCTCTCCACGATATGCATCAAGAACGTAGATATTGTTATTTGTAGTGGTTAGGAGCATGGATTTTCCATCGTTACTGAATTTGATATCGTTAACCTCAGCAGTATCCCCACCCACCAGAAATGTGTCAAAGGGACCCTACATAAGAGATCAATTGGGCTTAGAAGTTAGAACTAACAAGAGCATTCGTGCGTAAGGCTGTGTGAATCATAGTAAGTAGCTAACCTTGTCATAACACCGGGAATCAAATAATTTAACAGCACCTCCTTCCATTGCAATTGCAAACACGAGGCCTTGTTGGTCATAGGCAACTGCAGGCCTACCTCGTAGATGTAGAATTCCCTATTGACTAAAAGGGTAAGCATAAATCATGAAACCATATACATTCACAGAGAGAGAGAGTGGCCCTTGCTAAATCGAGAAAACTTGTTCTAAATGTTGTGGTTCCAACATCTTCATTAAGTTTAACTTTCAAAGGTGAAATTACAAAGTTTTGGATAACAAGAAGAAAAGGCACTTTTCTGATTAAAACTCTAGCATATTCTGGCTCCATCTAGCCTTCTTTGACTGTAAGACCGGAAACTAACCTGGCAGGCATTTACACGAAGATCCCAGAGTCTGACACTTCGGTCGAGAGAACCAGACATGAAGCTATCATTAATGGGAGACATACAAAGCGATACAACCCTGAAACAGAAAAACAACTTCCATCATAAATGCAATACATACTACTAAATCCAAATCCCAATTCCAGAGGTTATAGGAGACCTGTCTTTATGCCCTTTAAAGTAGCGAAGGATCCGATTATCATACATTGAGAGATATCTCAAGGATTCTGGTACACAAGAAGAAGCATTCAAGTAAGTGAAGATGCACCATTCTTTTGATTATCCAATCTAAAGCAAGAGAAAAGGAGGACTCACCACCAGTGGACTCCAAATTGTATCGAGAAGAGCAAATTAGAGAGCTGGGATGATGGGTAAAGCATACACGATCGGTGCCATGTTTCTTATGGTATGTAATCTTGAGCTGTCTACGTTTTAACAAACATATATACAAATTGAATTTCAGTCCACAGAAATCTCAACTAATCGGTTTATCCAAAAGTTTCTTCTCGATTGTTTAAGTAAACTAGGTTTCTCTAGAACCTGATGGGCTAAGTAGAAAAAAGAAAACCTAAAAAGGAGGAATAACTGACTTAGCGTTGGCGATATCGAAGAGACGAAGTGAATCATCTTCGCTGGATGTAACCAATAGATCATCAGTCCTATGGAAACCCACCGAATGTATCTTCCCTCCCTGCAAACGAGAATTGAACGGATTAATCTCGGAAACTGGATTCTACCAAAGTTTAATCCAAAATCAAATGAGATTACATAAGACAATAATCCGTTCGTACGAAATCAGAGAAGACTGCGCCGATGGCTATCCTGCGCACCAGTCCGTCGTCTAGCTCCGTCAACGACATCGTCAAGCTCGATTAACAGTGAAGCAAGAGAAAATCCGAGAGAGAGAGAGAGAGAGGCAAGGGAACGAGAGAGAACTAAAAGAGTTTAGTGGGTTTCGCGGGTACCTAAACGACATCGTTTTGTATTAGAACGACGCCGTACAAGTGTAAAAAAAAAAAGAAGAAACATCTTGCCGTTCATTTTTAGCCGGTAAAAACTACATGTCGTTTTGGCTTAGGAAAGAGAGAGCCTGTAGACAGCGACTTTGTAATACTGGTCTGTGATTTCCAAAGAGTCAAATGCGCAAATGAATGAACACAGAAGAAAAATAAATGACTCAACTCAAGCTTCAGGTTTCAAACACATAAGTAGGAAAGCTTTGAAAAAATATTTAAGTCACAAATGAAACACCAAGGTAACTCAAAAGATATGTTCG